TTTTTTTATATAATTTATCATCTGAAAAGAAAAAAAATATTAGATCGCATGAGAAATTTTATTAAAAAAAACTAAATAAAATCACCTTGTCTGTTGTATTCAATGAAATGTGCATGACAGAAGGATTGCTGCCTAAATGTATATATATATATATATATATATATATATATATATATATATATATATATATAATGTTAGATAGATAAAAAGAGAGAGAACAATAGCTACAGATTTGGGTTAATTGGTTAAATACAGTTTCTTCGCCTCTATTTAATTGCCTTTAAACTAACCTTAGTAAATATGCCACACACTGTTGAAGAAAGGTTTAGCAGCCTGCCTCACCGAAATGCCAACGTCGCACAAATGAATCTTTGTTTTTCATTTCACTTCTTACTGAATTATCGTAGAGAACCTAAGTATGAATCAATACTTAGAGAGCACATTCTGTAGACGCTCATCGCTCTGTTGAATTGTCCTCGTACCAGACTAGGACAACCGTAGGTAATTGGTATCCTTTTGTTTTGTTATCCAAAGCTAATGTAATGAATATGAATGTGTTCCCCCTCACAGGAATATGATTGGCTGGTGTCAACCATAAATACAGGCTGATGTAGAGGTACAGTCGACGCCCATTGGACAACGCTATTGGCTATCCTATTGGTCTACTCCTATTGCCTACATCTATTGACTGCGACTACAACGAATACCAGTTCCATTATTGATACCTGCTAGATTGTTCTACTCAGTTACAGTAGCCTAAACCATTTAGCTACTTCGATCAAATATATCCCTTTCCGGAACATATCAAAAGCATATTGTATTTTGCTGACATGGCTGAGTGGTTAGAACGTTTGCTTTCGGACCATGAGACCCTGATTCCAATCGCACTATAACTTCTTGATGTTATCGGCCTGCAGAGAATCCTTTGAAAAGTGCCTGAAAAACATACCGCGGGCTGGCCCAAGCATTGACAGAAAATGGGTACACGGAATTACAAGTCATCGTTACCGATTGTTTGAGCCTAATGTCCTTGTTCAGACTGCTGATCAAGCCAGATAATGCGCTCTCTACCAGAAACTGTAACTAAGGTCTGCTCAGCATAGTTGCTGTGGGTTTTGAACAAACACAAATGTGTCTGAGCAGGCCTCTACAAAAGGGATTGGCTAGACGGCCTAAACAGACAGGCATACTCGGATACGGGCGATCAGTCATTACGTTACTGTATTTTTTGCTATATTTTGCTGATACTTCACCGACACAAATAAATATGTATGCAGTTATGTTCTGAAAATTTCCGGATACCGTACGACGGATTTACAAGGATTTATTTTAGGAGAATCGATCAGATTTCAAACTCCTTAACTATGGCTTCTGACACAAACTAACATCTCACTGCATCGCAAACACTTGACGAATATGAAAATAATTTCGCAGTCAGTATATTGGAAACACGCTTTTCTTTTGCACACTCTCTCATTTCACCCCACGGGCTACAAAACCAATACCTTTTATCTCCTTCTCGCGTTGAGGTTCTTTGAGATGGCTAACGTTACAGCACATACAAGCGAGTACACTCTACGGTTTCTGTAAAGAAATATCGCGTTTACAAAACTTCGCCTGTGTAGATGTACCTATTTTGTGCATCGGCCGGGGGGAATGTTGCTCTTCCAAGCGGGAAAGTCCTACTTGCCAACTTTTAAAAGCAAAACGCAAATCGAGCAGTTTAGCTAGGATCGAAACCGGATAACTTTCGTTGGGGTGAAATACAAGACATTTGATCCATCAAGCAGTTGTAATAAATATCACAGGAAATATTTATAATTTTCAATTTAAGAAAAAAAAATAATTTTTACTTTTCCTGGAAATGTATCATTTGAATTCTCCTTGAGTATGCCGTAAAGAAACGTATTTTTAATATATCCCAATAACAACAACAACAACAACAACAATAATAATAATAATAATAATAATAATAATAATGATAATGGATGTCATGAGGTAAATACAAAGTGGAGTGAGCCTAAAAGTGTTATGAGCATGAACCACCTGCAGTAGTGGAAAATGGGAGTGTAAAGCTGCTCTGGAATTTTACTCTTCAATGTGATAATGTAGTTGAAACATGAAGGCTGGATAAAATAATTGTCGATAAAGACAAACAGTGTCGGGTTATCAATATAGGTGTACCAGGGGATGTAAAGGTGGTTTAAAAAAAACGGAGAAAGAGAAAACTGAAATGATTTGAAAAATGAGATAGCACGCTTGTAGGGGGTCCAAGAAAGTAAACGTTGTACCTGATGTTGTAGGCGCTGCTACAACAGCGACGGACGAAATCTCGAAATGATGGGTTAAATTTTCGGACTATGATTCGAAATTAGCTACTTTAGAACCCAGGCAGCGTTTGCTTTGGTTTGTTTTGTTTTATGGCACATCAACCTCAATGGGTTATTTAATGCCGACATTTTTTTTTCCTGGTAATATTTTTGTTTTGTCAAAAATCTATTTTCTGGTTATATTTTTTTTCCTCAAAAATAGAGAGCTGGTAATATTAATTTAAAAAAATATTTGCTGTTAATATTTTTTTTTTCAAAAATATTTGCTGCTAATAGTTTTTTTCTTCAAAAAATTATTTCTGGTAATAATTTTTTTTTACAAAATATTTCTGCTATTAAAACCTATTTTTACACTTTCATGATGCTTTTTACCTCAGTTTCGGGGTTAACTATTTGCCCATCGCGAGTCAGGGTGTACCTGGGAACACCAGCAATTAAGAGGTGGTTCCATGCTCCACAAAACCTCCTGATCAGAGGCTTTGCTGTTGGACGTAATTTAGCGTCTTACCCTGGACGCGGATGTAGTTTATCGTCATACCCAGGACGGGCACCGTTTGGGGCGGTCAGAATTCTAAGAAGAATTTTGATGATGTAGAGAAATGAAGAAATGGCAGCACGCATTTTTCATAACCCGCTCCTGATCGTTAAATCACTATACAAGATCTTCTTGAGAAAAAGATAATAATAATAATAATAATAATAATCGCCCAGACATTGTTATTAGAGATCGCACACAAAAAAGGTGCCTCCTTATTGATATGACAGTAGCAGCAGACAGCAATGTATCTTCGAAGATCGTCAAAAAGCTATCAAAATACAAGGACCATGAAATCGAATCTCAAAAATGTGGAACATGGGAACATCATCAATCCCCGTTGTAGTTGGAACCCTCGGATTGGTTGGAAAAGATTGCAGTAGACTAACTGAAGGGATCCCTGGAAGCACATGCCTTAAAAAAATACAAAAAATTGTTCTCACGAGTACAGCCAACACCTTACGAAAGGCTTTGTCTATGTATTTCTTTTTCCAGTGAAAAATGTCATGATGCCATTTCTAAACTTAGGTCTCTGGGAGGGACCCGAAAAGAAATGAGTACACATCAGAAATCATAGGAAATAATAATAATAATAATAATAATAATAATAATAATAATAATATTCAAATGGGCGTAGAGATGCAACTACAGCAAAATACACCGGCTGAAACTGCAAAATACTTTTAAAAAAAAGACAGCAAAGACGAATGCAACCAACCAGATACAGAAGCGCTGGCAAGAAAAACCGCTTCATGGCCAATACCCTACCCGTACCAAACAAGCTGACGTAGACAAAACCCGTACTCATCAGTGGTTACTTAGTGCAGGGTTGAAAGCGGAAACTGAAGGTTTTATCCTTTTGCACAGGACCAATGCTTGCTAACTAGGAATTATCAAGCACATAAACTAAAATATTGTGTCAGCCCAAAATGCAGATTCTGTGATAAATATCCAGAAACGATTGATCATATTGTATCAGGTTGCACGATATTGGCACCCACTGAATATAAAACCCGGCATGACAAAGTGGGCCAATATCTGCACTGGAAAATCTGCAACTTCTACGGGAAGAAAACTGAAAGAAACTGGTATGAACACCAACCAGACCCGGTTACGGAGATAGGACCTGTTACAATTCTATGGGACTACACAATACACACTGACAGAACAATCAAAGCCAACCGCCCAGATATTGTTATTAAAGCAAAATAAAAACGGTGCCTCCTTGTTGATATGGCAGTCCCTGCTGACTGCAATGTACCTTTGAAGATATTCAAAAATCTGTCAAAATACAAGGACCTTGAAATAGAAATCTCGAAAATGTGGCATATGGAACATCAACAATCCCTGTTGTAGTTGGAGCCCTAGGTCTGGTTGGAAAAGATTTCAGTAGACTAATTGAAGGGATTCCTGGAAGTCCATGCCTCAAGGAGATACAAAAAATTGTTCTGACAAGTACAGCCCACACTTTACGAAGGGCTTTATCTATGTAATATTTTTTTTTTTTTTTGTCAGTGGAAAGTGTCATGATGCCATTTCTAACCTTAGGACCCTGGGCGGGACCCGGAAAGAAATGTGTAAACGCCAGAAATCAAAGAAAATAAAAATAATAATAGCCACCAGAGGGGAATTGCTAATTAGGTACTTAAAATTATTCATGGCAAACCACTAACAATAATATTGATAAATTCCAGTATCTCTCGCAGAAATCCCAAAATTAGTTCTAACAAGCACAACCAGTATCCTGCAAAGAGCTTTTTGTCCATTTTAGTTTTTTTTTTTTTTTTTTGTTAAGAGCTATGTTTTGTTGAATTAAGTGAAAACAAAAAATCATACACTTCGCTTACCGCAGGTCATTGGTTATGGGATAATAAAACCAATGCTGGTAAAAAAAAAAAAGAAGTAATTTTTAAAAATATTAAAAATAATCTTTCAGGGCGATTCACTACCTCCGCTTTTATTTTTGTTCATCATGCTACCATTAACTGTGATTCTCAATAAAAAGTAATCTGGCTACATGTTTGCAAAGAATCAGAAACAGAATATCAACCACCTGATTCTCATGAAATGGTCTCAACTTATATGTTACCAATAATGGCTTGTTGGTCTCCTTGATAAACATCGCTGAGATATGTATGCTACCAGAATATGAGGATGGAAATCATTTTTTCAAATTTGAATATGCTTTGCTAGAAATGAAGAAGAAAGGAGAGGTGGATAGTACAGGGGTATATCTCTCCGAATCTACGAAGGTCGTAGCTAAAAACACTTTTTATAACTATCTGGTGGTTCGATAAATAGACAGGTCTCTCACTGACAAGGTTAAATCACTTATACGAGAGGAATATCTTTGGTATGAAAAGAGGCTTCATTGATGGGTAGAAATTTTCGTTTCAGTCGGGGTTGTAAGGAATGATGCGGGCATTGTTGAAGGAACCAAAAAGAACCTAGCAAATATTTACCGAAAGACAAGAAGATAAAGCCATGATCAGGTGATTACATCCTAGAAGCAATGTTGTTAATCTATACTTATCCCGAAAAGAGGACAAAAGAGGTTTGATAGGGGTAAAAGAGTGTATAATATTAGAATGTAAGTCTTTGTATGGGCGTTTAGGAAATAGCCGCGAATGGATGCTGAAAGGTGAGCTGGCTGAAAATCTCATTGTTAAGACAGAAAAGTTGGCCGAATGAGGAAAGATAATCTTTGATGAGTCAGTTAATCAATGTAGTATTTACACAAGGAACACAAGAGCTGGCAGATTCAGATTAACGGATTGCGCTTAGGAACGGATTACTGAAGAAGGTAACCGAAGGAATGATCTCTGCGGAAGCAAGGGCAGGCTTTAAAGACTTATTACATCAAGTATACATAGAACAGCTGTTTTACACTTCTGCAGGCTGCGGGAGAATGTTACTGAAAATGTTTAACACATTAATCAAGAATACAGACGATGACATAACAAGGTAGTCCTCAGAATACACTGGGAATTATGATCATGAGTGCACAGAGCTTTCACCACTGTCAGTAGCTGAAAATGAGCAATTGAGGCTCATGTGGGATACGGCCATCTTGGCTGATAAATCGTTTTGATATCACACTTGCGTACAAGAGCAGCCATGAATAGATCCTGATGGAAGTTGGGCTACCTTGGGAAAAGAACATCGTGAAAGCAGACCAGGTGTAACATGACCTTGCAGAGCAAAATAGAAGAAATATACCTTCAGCTGTCCTTTTTATAGTTGGCGTACTTGGACTATTTCTAGGGATCTTGCTAGCACGCAAGACGCCTTGGAGATACATTACATCATTGGGAGCGTGCAAGTGAGGAAGTGATGTTTCTCGATGATAGGAGTAGGAGCTGAAATATTACCATCATCACCCGACCGAAACAGCATAATTATTTTAAAAGGAATCTTTAGTAAATAAAATAATCACAGTATCAGTGATGATTGGAGCACTCGGGTTTTGTCCAAAAGAACATAGAAAAAAAACTTGCATTTATTGTACTGTGATTCTGAAATTGAGTCATTAAAACATGTCTTGCAAGGAACAGCGCGACACATTAGAAAGTATAGGAAAGTGAAGGTAAGAAATGATCGAATTATTTTAAGTTACGAGTGATGACCTAAAGAAAAGCTTCTTACTAGCAACTAACATCATATCCGATGAATAATAATAATAATAATAATAATAATAATAATTGCTGTAACCTAGGGAAAGTTACTGAGTAGGATAATCAAACGAAGTTTCGTAATGAACGATAATACTCAGGACAAAAGCAACACATATAAGAATCGCCAGTGGCGTCTAGAAGTAGTAGTCAACTGCTAGAAGTGAGTTAAGTGAATTCTACAATGAATCTCCCCAATTTCAAGATATCTACCAACCGTCTCACGCAGTCAGATGTTGCACAAGGTCGAATTTAAGGTGGGGCATCCGAGCCCTTAGGCTCGGCCAAAAAATCCCCGTAGACACCGTTTAAAACGGGTTCGTGTAGCCGTTTCCTGAGACGAGACTCTGCACTTCGACATAGCTTCGCCTGGGGATCCTCACTGCCCGGAGGCAGAGAGTTTGACCAGCAGAGCTGGAGACTAATCTCCAACTGCAGGATATTTACCATCCACCCCACGCAGTCAGATGTGGCACAAGGCCGAATTTAATATAGGGTAGTCTCGGCCAAAACTTCCCCGTATAAAACGGGGTTGGGTAGCTGTTTTCCGAGACGAGGCTCTTCCCTACGACGTAGCCACGTCTGGGGATCCTATTTGTTAGAACTGAAAAATAGTGCTGAACTACTATCAAAAATCAATACTTCTACAGGGTGTTCGGAAAGTCACTATGTTTTTCTTAACAGACAGGTTTCAATATAGAATACAGGAGGAGAATATGAATGAAAATTATAAACAATGCAGTTAAAATCATATTAGAATGAAATCTTTAATATAAAAAATATTAGAAATGTACACTGTAACTTTCTGAACACATTGTATATAGCGAATTCTAGACAATTTCCTCACAAATGAAAAGGGCTGAGTAGAAACAAAGAAAAGGAGTCTTAACAAGTAATTGATGAATAGGTATTGACTAAGCGTAGTTTAGTCTGGCTTAAGGTCACAGGGAGTTAAAGTAGAGAAGGAAGAAAAGAAAATCTAGAAGTGTAGAAAATCGCCCGATCTAAAATGAATAATCGAAACATGGACGAAAACCACAAAAAAAGACGAAATGTTGTCTTTTAAAGTTCACCATAACTTGTGAATCTTTGAAATCTTCTTCTCGCGAAAGGTCATGGAAAGAAGGCCTGTCGAAACGGTCCAATTAAAGGCCTGTAAAAACATCAAATCTGCAACATGACGCGAATCTCATGAATAAATATCAACAGATAATTGACGAATTATGCATCAATTCTCGTCGATAACACCCAACAGATTTACATACAGACACGAGTGAATGCAGGGAAGGAAAGGTTTTCTGTGCAGGGTTGGTCAATTATTTATATACGAAATGAGAAGGATGAAGGTGAAGGAGCACTCAAGAAAATGTGAGGAGGAAGAAAGCGAAATAATAACGGTTAAAAGATAAAAAGGAAATAAAATACGAAAAGAAGAAGTAATAACGGATGCGCTTGCTCTAGAGCATCAATTAGCATGCAAAACCCGCAGGACATTGTTAGTGAGTACAAAGTAAGTGTGTACAATAGAAAATAGTTCATGTAAGGAAGTTGAATTCGTTCAACAAACTAGATATTTAAAACTACTTCCGCAGATTATTGGTAGAAAACAATTCTCAGAAATTACTGCTAGTTAGTTCACTATGGGGAGCTCCATTTATATGGCGTTTTGCCAGACTTAGATAAGTTTTGTAAATGTCTACAATCATTGAAAAGATACAAATGTATAAAGTGGAAATCTAAAAAAAGGTTTACATGAATAAAGTTAAAAGTGATATATATGTGTGTGTGTGTAAAGTTATATATATATATATATATATAAGATAATACATACAGTGCTGCTCCATAAAAGTGACTCACTTGATTTTTTTTGCTAAATGTTCTCTTCTCCGATTAAACAAAAATTGAGTTAAATTAAAAGGATAAGTGATCTAAAATCCGAAGAAGCTTTGAAAGCTCTTTGAATTTAGCAGTAAGTACTGTCAAGCATCCGTTCGGTATAATTTTCTGCGGATGCTTTTCTTTTAATGGGACTGGTTTCTTAAAACCTATTGAAAAGACCCTCAGGAGCGAGCAGTACAAGAGTCTTCACTGCTCCCTTCTGCTGAAAGAGTGCAAATCGACCCCACCAAGCTCATTTTTATGCAGGATTATGCTCCCTGTCACAAATCAAAATTGACGAAGGAATATTTTGATGAGAAGCAAGTGAGTGTTATGACATGGCCGCCCCAATCTCCTGACCTCAACCCCATAGAAAACTTATGGAGCATTATAAAGTACAGGCTCTCGAGAGAGCAGTTGAGCAACAAAGAGGATTTGATTGTGAATTTCATATCCGAATGGAATTCAATGCTTGGAGATGAGATTTGCCAGAACCTAATCAAGTCAATGCCAAAATGAGTTGAAAAGGTTATTCAAAATAAAAGAGGACCCATAGATTATTAAATATTTAGAACTATATTACCTATTATAAATAAATTCTACCTCTATTATTCTTTATTTAAAGCTGTTCGGTTATGTTTTTATTGATTACTAGTTGCAGTTGAGTTACTAAAAAAGGAAAATAATTGGAATTGGACAGAGGACTGTAAAAAAGCATTTAGTGAGTCCCTTTTTTTGCACAGAGTTTTTACCTAAATCTCATTTATATCCAAAATTATAATTATCAATAGAATACCCTAGGGTGAGTAGACTGTTTTACTAGGTGGTCGGGAAGGGGTCTTTATATTAGTAAGATTAAAAATTAGTTTGACCCCAAATAAATAGGCGAAAAAAATTTTTAAGTAAAAAAAATCAGGTGAGTCACTTTTATCGAACAGCACTATATATATATATATATATATATATATATATATATATATATATATATATATAAAAAAAAAATAATAGCAACTAACAAATTTTTAATCCAATGTTATGTCGATAATATTTAATGGGTATATATAACATAAATTGTAGCATACAAATCGAGTTTTCGAGCCAAAAAAAGTATTTCCAAATCTAGGGGTCAACTTATGTGTCGGGTATAAAATGCAAACATTTGCTACCGTGTTGTAAACAAGTGGGACATCACTCTTAACAATTACTGTACACCAATTACCGTACAACCAGCAGACAGCCACAATTATATAACACTAAATCTTGTTTGGTGAGCAAATCTGATATATTAAATCAGGTATTACTATAAAATCATAATATAGTGACACACATTCAGTATTCTATTAACGCTACAGCTCTTATCGCGTCCAACAGGTTGTACACTAAGTGTACATACTTAAGAAGCGCCATTTTAACGCAGACAATTATCTACAGTATGCCTGTCGCCAGTGGAATTACATGATAACAATGACAGATAAAGACAGTCTGTTGAATATACACATAATGACAGACACATTTTATTGAATATACACATAATGACACATAAAGAAATTTATTGAATATACGCATAATGACACATAAAGACAGTTTATTGAATATGCACATAATTACTATGCAGTTATGGTAAAATATTATTTTAAAGGTTACTTGAAAGTTACCATATTTCATTGATGATAAAAAAAAGCTTGACTCTAAAATGCCCAGGAAAAACTGTCATGAGATCTGACGTGCTCTCAACTCCAAAGTGTGTCAATGACGAAGCAAGACTGATTGGTTCCTTTAAGCATAGATTTTTCTCTTCCTCTTGAAATAAATATATCTTCTCAGTTTTATATCCTAACCTAAATAAAGCATAGCAGATAACCAAGCAAAATAACGTTTAAGTTATATATATATATATGGCTATTTTTGTAGTGATTTTATAACATACTATGTTATAATTTTTTATAAATAATAATTATATATATATATATATATATATATATATATATATATATATATATATATATATATATATATATATATATTTTCATTTTTCATTTATTTGCTTAAACGTTATTTTATGGGATAATCATATTTAAGTAGAAGGTCTGTTTTTGTTTTTTTTTAATTAAACAGTACTTTTTATTCAACTAGTTGTGAACATTCGAGAAATCTTATCAGAAAAATGGGTCCTACGTGGCCGAACGGTTTGATACGTCACATCCAATGAAGGTTCCCGTAGGCGATGCAGGTTCGAATCCTGTCGGAGGACCCATATTTTTTTCTTTTTCTGGCAAAACTGCTCGAATATTCAGGCCAGGAGATGTAGTTGGATAAAAAAATACCGTTTAATTAAAAGAACAGAACTTCTACTCGAATATGAGTATCCATCAAAAATAACATTTAAACAAAATGAATTAAAAATAACAATATATCAGGTTTAATACATTTCATATATATATATATATATATATATATATATATATATATATATACGTGATAAGATTAAGTAGATAAAACAATGGTGTTAATACGAGAAGCGTGATTTCGTACAAGTATTATTTATCTTTACTTCCGCCAATCAGCGATCAGTTTGTTATCTCACCTGTTAATTCTTTACTTCTTATCTTTCTCCTGTTGTATTTGCAAATGCCTAAATCCTAATAACCATAGTAAAAGAAAGATATGAATTTATTGAATAGGTAATTAAGCTTAGCTTCATATTGTTGCTTCCTCTGGCTCAATGGTAATGCACAAACCACTTGAAAGTTGTTTCACAGATTAAAAACAGAAATACTGGCTTATACATTCGATTATTATGGAATTTTTTTTTTAATTAAAAGTTTTGATGTCTTGATTAGTCAGGCATCGTAACATAATACCACTTAATGTTTGCTCGTGAACAGGTCTAATGATCGTGCCAGTTAAAGAAGTTTTCGAACATCTTGACGAGCATGTTGAGTAGTATGGGTATCACTTGGGCAGGTATTATCCTGCTAGATGGGTGCTAAATGTGTTGAACAATATTCTACGTGGCGCTGCTCGACGTTTCCTCTGCGTTCAAGCAGTGAATATTGCTGTGAAATCTGGTCTGGTGCTTCTGCTATGTACTTAGAGATTCCTGATAAAATCCAAAGAAGAATCTGCAATGTTATCGGTCTTGACCTGTATTGCGGTTTCGGACACGTTTCCACCGCCGTAACGTAACTTCCCTGTGTCATTTCTATATTTTAATAATAATTGTTCTGATGAGCTTTGGTCTTTGATACCTAAACTTTACGAAGAGTGAAGTATTAGATTGACAACTAGGTTTCATCTTTTTACAGTCGAAATTCTTAAATGTAATCGTAGTGTCTATGCTAACAGTTTTTTTTTTCAGTTCTCACTTACTTTCAAATTGTAGTGACTGTAAACATAATGGCAGTAGAAGCCCTAAATAAAACTATCAGCAGCAGCTCTCGAATATAAAAACACGTGAACACTAAAATAACTCTCACTCTTCAGGGTTTTTCTCTTTTGATATAGTGTCATGAACCCTCTATGCTGAAGCTAAAAGGTCTGTGAACGCTTCACACTAAAATACACCAACAAAGTAGGTCTCACTTAAACATATTGATAAACATTTGGTTGTTTATACAATTTACGTCTCACAAAAGAATTTATTGTTTTAAATATTCCTCTTGTTAATTTGTCTAATAAATGTTGTCTTGCATGGCAAATCACTTGGTCTGTTATTTTGTGCATAGTGCTCTTTTTTCACGTGTTGTGGTAGGATCCACCTAATTTGCATAGTGGAGTACCGACCCTATAAATATGGTTGGTACCGGGAAGAGAGGGAGGAATCAAGAGATTCAACCAGAGACTCTGCCCGACTGCGACTCAGTCAACACATTCTCCAGGAACGGTCTTACCAGGAATATACAAAAGACTATATGTAAATATTGTGTACACTTTCTTGTTTCAATACATTTTGTTCTAAGTACATTTTGTGTTGCATTATTATTCCATGCATTAGTCAAGTTTCAACATCACGATTATTCTTTTATGTACTCAAAATGTTCCTGTAAGAAGCCTTTCACATTTAATTATTGAGGTAGCTATTTGCTAAACAATTAACTTTGATCTTCAAAAATTTAAATGCAATGTCAATCATTGTCTTTTGGCTTCTTAGTTACTGTTCTGTTATTGTTCACCATCCTTAATAATATTTTTCTCGTATTTTTTACATTCATTAGTGTCCCCTCTGCGTCTTAGTGCCGTTATGGGCTAGCTTTAGGGGAAATTATTACAAAATGCAAACACACAAAAGGCGAAGGAAGGTTACGATTTTATAGAAGGCCTACAATGCGTCAGTGTGCCGTGGTCGAATAAACTCTAGAAGGTGTCAGTTCCTATGTTTATGTCGCACACGTCAACGGCCACCATAGCAATGAAGGCAACACTTGTTGTCATCACTGAATACTAAAATGCTCTATTGAATCTCCCAGGCTACGCTTTGACGACACCAATGGAAATGGGTCCGATGGTTTTATGGCAATGATAAATGGAAGTCTAACAAGAGCCGCGCGTGAAAGTAGTTTTAATGCAAATGATTTCCTGATGACCGTGTTGACATTTCTCTGAGAATATTTGCTCTCGCTTTTGCTGCGCACGCCGTTCTGTCATTGCTGCCCGTACAATTCGTTGATCTGTAACATGGCCATTCAGAACATTCTCTATGCGTGTAGGAATGTTCATTTGTTAAGTACCCTCGATACATCAAGTCTCACATGCATGGCAATGCATCAAAATAATCATCCAAACTCTCGAATGTCCAAAATCCAACCTCTCTCAAATTGGTTAACTTGAAACGAAAAAAAGAGCACGTGTATATCTCTGTGACATATCTGTCATATGTAATTAAATATGTGACACGAAATTGTTGTTGGCAACTACGCTCGTTGTTCCATAGTGGACTGAGTCGGTTGCATTGCTTCATTCGTTTTTATGGTTGTCTTCAGGACAATAAAGCGTCTTGATCACTTGCTGAAAATCAAATCAGGCTTCTATTCATTTCCAGAAAAAATGTTTTATTAAACAGCCCAACGCATATGGTCTGCATCGGCTGCTTTTATTGTCCCCAGTAGGCGAACTTTGCCGACAACTACTCAGTGACGGAGAAAGAGAAGAGAGAAAGATTCCAAATATTAACACGATGCAAAAATTTTCACTTAAGAGTTTTTATGGGAGAATCTTCTTTCTTAACAGGAAATCTTGCCTTCTCTCTAATTGTTGATGAACCAGTTCACTGAAAAGGAGCCAGCACATTCTTCTATTTTCTTCTTTGCGAGATTTGTGTCCGTCAATTGTCACTATCAAATACATTGTATTTTAGAAATACGATAATTTACAATAACCAGTATGGCAGTTAGAATATTGTTTTCTTAATCTTAAGATATTCTCGTCTGCTTTACACTTATTGTTGTGGATTCCGGGATGAAATCCGGTCTCAAATGAATGACAAACGCAGGAAGGAAATATAGCAAATAAATGTATTGACGTAATAATACAATTGGTAATACGGTTAGTAGATCCAGAAATGCGGTTAGTAGCAATAATAATATATATATATATACAGTCTGGGAAATTCAGTATCGAAGTATGACTTCCTTCTGAGTCTACGTGCTCGCAACTGTGACTCCTACAAAGCGGTTACCTCAGACTCTCACTCTCTCACTTTCTCACTCCCGGGTATTCACCGGCAGCAGTACAAGTACACACTGGGCGAGTCCACTTGCATAAAAAGGGGTGGACACCTTAACACTCATAATGTTACATAGGATACCTACTTGCTCTGGACTCTTCTTACACTGAACCTTATCGCAGCATGCGTAATTGTCTGAAGCTGAGACAGGTAGTTTGTTTAGAGGCATATCAGCTCTTTATGTGTTATTTAATGCCGAAATTTAATTTTCTTTGGAACAATTATTATTTTCTTTTTTTTGGACAAATTTATTGCTGGTATTTTTTGTTAGAAATATGTATTGGTGATAATATAATTTACTATGAAAATGTATTAATGTTATTTTTACTATAACAATTACTTATACTTTAAGAGTGTATTGACCCTAGTTTGGGTGTTAACTATTTGTGCATAGATGGGAGCCTAACAGGTACTACTACCCTGGGTCAGTGTGGACTAGGGAACAACAGCAATTAAAAGGTGGTCCCACGCTCCTCAAAACCTCTCGATCAGAAGCTTTGCTGCCGGATGTAGTTTATCGTCATACCCAAGAAGGGACACAGATTGTTCACTGGTATAAGTATTGCTACATTAAATGGATATAGAACCTTTAAAAATTTATTAAAGTATTTCTAACCCCCTAATATGAATATATTGTACCCAGATCAAAAATGGCATCATTTTCAATGTGTTGAAATCTTATTTTGCATTAGTATTCTATCATTCTATCTATCTATCTATCTATCTATCTATCTATCTATCACAGTCGGTTCATATATAGCTATGTTAGTCTGTTTCTATCTATCTATAGCAGTCGATTCATATCTATCTACCTTAGTCTGTTTCTATCTATCTGTCACAGTCGGTTCATATCTATCTATCTATCTATCACAGTCGGTTCATATATAGCTACGTTAGTCTGTTTCTATCTATCTATCTATCTATCGCAGTCGGTTCATATCTATCTTAGTTTGTTTCTTTCTATCTATCTATCTATCTATCTATCTATCTCAATCGTTTCATATCTATCTTAGTCTGTTTCTATCTATCTATCTACCTATCTGAAAGTAATTTGTTGACATTGAATAGTCAAAATTGTTCAAGTTTCGGTTTCGGTTACATTAATGACCTTGGAAGAGGCATGAATCCATATCAACGTAGAAAACCGTAGGTAAATGAGATTTGGCGAAAACCACTTCCCCATAACTATTTCCTGGGCAATAATTAAAAAGGTTTTCATGTGTATCAACCTTGATGGTAACCAGTAGTATAAGCACTATATCCCATTTTTTTTATTCATGTCAATGATAAAATTGGTACCAATGAAGTAAAATCAGAGTCAAAATAGATTATTGCTGTTATAGCGTATTTGGCCCGAAGTTATGCAATCCTCACTTTGTAGCCTTGATAGAGTTCAAAATTATTTACGCTGCCTTGTAGATGATGAGTTATTTCCCACCCTACAACTCTTTTCCCACATATGAATCATCGCAGGCCTATTTGATATTATATCGTAAAAGAGTTGCATTCGTTTACAACTAAGACCCACCATGCCATCCTCATATCGTTGACATCCTCATTCCATTCGTATTTCATTGGCAAGGAAGAAGTTTCATTCGAAGAGATTCTTGCCAAACGTCGCTGCTTTGTAGAATATATTCCCATCAGGATTCTTCACTGACTGATTCAATCTTAATCTCTAAGTCTAGTAAGAACTTTCATTTATCATACTTATCCACAGAACCTGTAATTCTTACCACCACTTTTTATGACCATAAACATTCTCATTCAGTAACGCTCTACCTTGAGTTGCTCTTGTGCCTTGTATTGGAAGGAAAAATCGCGGTTTACGATCACATCACGTTGAAATAGCGGTTCCCGTACGATCACCGAAGTTAAGTAACGTTGAGTTTTATCAGCACCTAGATGGGTAACTGCTGGGGAATACCAGAAGCTGTAA